CCCCCAGAAAGTACCCCCGCCTCTAGCTCCCCCCCAAATAACCCCCCTTCTAGCTCCGGAACTTTGTTGATACAGTTTTCCTTCTAGCGAGGTCAGCAATCAGCAACTACACAACAAGCAATCTCCCCCAACCTAAACAACCTACTCTATGCCCTTGGTTAGATAAAATACTTTTTTAAAACATACAAAGCTGTTCCCTGGTTAAAATGCAGTAAAAGTTCAGGGGTGCTTCATCAAGATCACTGTGCCTGATTCGATTCAGCCGAATCTGAATCTGAAGATTCAATGCTCCCCACCACTGCAGCATTCATGAGCCCCTGCTACCTAGAGGTATGTAGAAAAAACGTTTAAAGCTGTCTCTATGTCTGAATCGCCGAATCTTTCTGAATTGATTCTAGGGGTTCCGATTCAATTCGGAGAGATTAAAGGGTCCTCTGATTCAATTCGGATTTGGAGATTTGGCCACCGAATTGGGCTGAATCTCCGCTGAATTGAATCAGGGACTAAAGCTTCGCACAGCCCTAATGTCTACCACTAAATCTTAAGCTATGTGGGACCTATGACATTCCACTGATATGTTATAAACATGTCCTTAGAGCAGGGATGGGCAAAATGCGGCCCACGGGCCAGATGAGGCCCGCCAACCCCTTCTATCCGGTCCATGGGGCCCCTAAAAAATTTAGAAAATTAATATTTATCTGCCCCTGGCTGCCTATCATGTGTACCTCAATGGCTTGCCAAAACTCAGTAAGCAGCCCTCCGTCCTAAATAATTGCCTGCCTCTGCCTTAGAGGCCTTACCGTACTTACTATTGTACTTAGTCTTGTGTAGACATTTGCAGACAGTGGGTGTAAGTCTCAGCCTCAGTAACTCCCTTCATTTCACTTTACTCTACTTATCTTTTGACTTCCATAGAATTGGGCAACTGAGTGCATTGCCCCTCTCTGCGAGGTTCCATGCTATCCCTGAAGGGAGAGGTCTCATGGTTGAGGCATTCAAATAGGACTTATATCAGAGAACAGTTTCTAGGTTTATCAGACGTTTCCTGTGCCTCCATCTTTTCCCTGAAATATGGTACTAGCTCCCTTTCTCTTACCACTTGCTCTTCTGTTCCACTTAGATAGCAGGTTCTGTGAGGCAGGAACTGTCTCAGGCTATATGGCTGTACAGTGGTTAGCATGATGAGGTTTGAGTCTGGGTTGGGATTTCTGGGTGCTACTAAAATGCAAAGAATACATATAATTGAATTTGGCCCCAGGGCAACTGAAATAAAACTTTTGGAGGGATACAAGCATTTAAGATGTAGGTATGATTGCTTGTCTTTGCTTTATATTATTTCAGAGATTATTAAATAACAGTGTTTTTCTTTTCTGCCATAGAAACAGCATGTATAATTCATCGACCTTTGATGAATCAGAAGAATTGCAAATGGCCCAAGATGCTGAGACATGCTTGCTGAAGTCAGGAGAACTGATGTAAGCAGAGCAGCTTGTTACTACCTGGTTTAAAAAAATAAAGGTCAAATCAGATCTGGGACATTTGAGCACAAGTCTCATTGCCCTCGGTGTGACTTAATTCATCTGTATCTGACAGCTGAATTTGGCCTGTGGAGAAATATAATAGTTAAATAATGAAGTAGTAGTCATCTCTGTTGTCCCATTCTGATTTTGCAATGCCCAGGTGCACATGGGAGGTAGAAAAAGAGAGCATCAGCTTGCTATCCTGTCTGCCCAACTGCTTTCCCATTATTACTGCAGTCCTGGGGTAGGTGTCCAGGGTTCCAGTAGAGGAGGGTGGAGAGAGTGTTGCATTAGTCCATTTTGTTTGGTGGGGGAAGGGGTTTATTTTCCATCTCCTCGTTGCAGTCAATGTCTTTTATCCTTTTTAGTCTGCACATATCACAGTATGAGCTGAACTTTCAGTTCAGTCTCAGCCCAATTTTATGTGTGTGTGCACAACCCACCCAACACACACACACCCTCGGCAACATACTAACTAAGGTTTTTGCATGCAGTTATGCTACTTTGATGCCCTGTTGATAATAGGGTTTGTATGCACAAAACCCAGGATCTTGGAACTCACCTATGGCAGTCTATGTAGAAAAGTTGGCTCAACTGTGAGTTGAATGACAGTTAAATGATTTGGTCTGTGCAGGGCCCTTGTTGCTACCAGGCAACAGAGGATGAATAATAGACTGCTGCTTAAAATTAAAGAGTGGTTGGGAAAGTTAGGTAGTTGATTCATCTAGAGCAGGGGTGCTCTAGTCTTGGCCCGTGGAGCCATGTCATCTAGTCCCCTGGACTCCCCATGGGTCGGAAAATGTGGTGGCATGGGAGTAGTGGCCAATAACACTGCCAACCCTCCCCTGCATCCAAATTTCCAATCCCTGTGCCACAATAGCCAGGGCCATTGCCACGTGGCCACATCAAGCCTGGGCTGAACTGTTGCTTTGCAGCTGGATCAGACCCAGGCTGGGTTGTTGCCATGTGGCTGGATCAGGCTGGGCCTGGGCCATTGTCACACAGCTGGATCAGACCCCAGCCATGCCTGCCTTGCTTGCTGGATTAGGCCTTCACTGTGCCTGCCCCATATGCTGCATTGGGCCCACCTTCTGAATGCAGCCCACAGACAAACCTGGAGCTGCCCATCCAGCCCACAGGGCAAAAAGCTTGGGCACTACCAATCTAGAGTGTAAGTACTAACATTACCAGTAAAGCTGAACTAAGGCTAAAAATGCAGTGTTCAGCTTGGCCTGGTTACAGTTGTTAAAATTTAGCAATTGGCACTAGATACCACACAGTCATGACTGAGAAACCACAGGCTTCCCCATCTTCAGAATAGGAAATAACACCATTATCATTTGTGGTATGAGTCTGCAACTGTTTTCTTGAGTTGGCAGCCAATGACCTATTGCTAGGCTTGGCAGAATTCAATTTTTATTTTTTTTTAAACATTTTGACAGCTAAAATCATTGTTTATTTTTAAGCATTTCTTTTGATTTTTAGCTATTTACATTTTCAGGATTGCGCAAAATCGGATGTGGGTGCAGACAAGTTAGTAATGACAGTATACTGTTAAAAGCTTTGTAAAATCACATGTCAAAATATAAAAAGTAAATATCCATAAATCAGTAAATCATACCTGTTTTAAATCATTCTGTTCATTCATCATCGGGGAAGAGCCAGCTGGGCAGGAATCAGAAGAGGAGGATGAACACGGGGAGAGGTGGCAGCCACCCCTTGCATTATGTGTTTAACGTGGCCAGGCAGCATTTCCCCCTCCTCCCCTTTGGGTAGGGGGTTTGTTTAAGCAGCCTGTTTCCTCCCTCCAGTCCACTTCTACACCTGTGAATGAGCAGCTAATTGTTTAATTGATGAGTCATTAGGCTGCCCATTGTTTTCCTTTTTAACCCCTCTACCCTCTGTCCCTCCATCTGTCTTTCTTCACTGTTCAGTAACAAGGGTAAGGGCTCCCTGTTACAGTCCCCTTTCTGTACATTTCTATTATTACCAGTGGACATATTTTTTGGTCAGTCTGTAAAGGAGAGGTGAACTCACCATTTATTGATAAAAAAGGAATCCTGCTAAGCCTACCTATTACTGGGTATCATAATACTAGGATCACAGAGTTCTTTCATTAGCAGTAACATAAGGGATGGGCAACTGGGGCACCAGCCCTGACACTGCTGCTGTCAGCCTAGCCCCGGCTGCAGCTGGCCCAGCCCCTGCCACCCAGGGCATAGAGTGTAGTAGTTATGCCTCTGTTGGGTCAGAGGTAATTTCTCCTGATTTTACTGCCAGCTGAGAATCTAACTGTTACCATGAAGTATATCATTAGAGTAAGATCATTTGTCCAAAGCATTAAAGGGTCCTGGAGAAAATTAAGTTTTAATCCCAGGATCCAGCCTGCATGACTTTTTACAGTGTGTCTTCAGGTTAAGTGCCCCAAAACTCCCAGGAGAGGGAGCACTGTGCAACATGAATAGAACTGCTGCTCTCATCTGCCCAGGTCAGTAAATTTGTCCGTTCCCTCAGTGCTAATTTCTCAATAAGAAGGATGTTTCTTCCTAAAAAAGGCAGCAGAGGGCAGCAGAGTCTTCTTTGTCAGGGCATTTTTTGTTAAAAACTTTACAGCAGGGGCAGGCAATTATTTCAGGTGAAGGGCTGCTTACTATATTTCAGCAAGCCATAGAGGGCCGCATGACAGGCAGCCGGGGGCAGATATATATTAATTTTCTAAACTTTTTATGGGCCCCGCGGGCTGGATAGAATGGCCTGGCGGGCCGCATCTGACCCGTGGGCCGCATTTTGCCCACCCCTGCTTTACAGGCATGTCTATACCACTTCCCTAGTGTGTTTGGGATGCCTGCCAAAAAGCAGAGCCCACCTGCTCCCTCCATAAATGAAGTGATGAAGCTACACTGAGGTCACACTCCACTGCCACTCCCAAGTCTACCAAAGACAGAGAGTTCAAGAAGGCCAGTGGGGAAGGTAGAGCACCCCCCAGGCTAGCTAAGTCTCCTCTGGCATTTATACACATACCTTTGCCTGCTCCGACACGCCGGAAATCCAGCACGTCAGACCAGATATCGCATGCATTTGTATAATGGCAAAATGCTCATCAAGATTGAGAAAATGGCAGCAGTCCCCTTTTGAACTAAAACACTTTTGATGTATTTTAGTTCAAAAGCAAGCCAACGCCATTTTCTCAGCGCTGACACACATTTCGCCATTTATATAAATGCATGTGCCACAGCGCTGGGTGCTTTAAAAGTGCCCAGTGCTGCAATGCAAGCATATGTACAAATTCCCCGCATTTCTGTGTTTGGTAGAGGTGGAGTGGAAGAGTGTGTCCATGCCCCTCAGTGGTGGTCTCAAGAGCACCTTCAAAAAGGTATAGATATACTTTAAATTGGGCACTAGCTTACTACGAAAACGTATTTTTAGGTCTCTGTACCAGTCAGTGTTACTTTTTACTGTTATGGAATAAGTGAGTGATTGAAACAAAGCTAGCACGAAGTATGGGATTGTGATCTGCTTTAAGGTTCTTGCTTTCATCCAAAGTTGGATTACTGTATCCCATAGATACACCTCTAAGACACTGAGGAGCCTTGATCAAGAAAAGGAAAATAAATAGTTGCTGTGTATTATTCACACCATCTTCGCAATCAAACTTGACCCTTCAGGTTACTAATTTTTTTGTTTTGTTTTGGTTCCCCCCACAGGATAAAATTACCCATTACAGTGGAAGAGATAGCAAATTTTGGAGAAGACAGTAGAGAGCTGTTCATTAAGTCCAGCACCTACAGCGTCATTCCCATCACTGTTAAAGAGACTGGCCTTACAATAAGCTGGCTGTTTTCTTCAGACCCAAAAAGCATCTCATTCAGTGTCATTTACCAAGAATCAGAAGAGGCAACATTGGATCAGTGCAAAGTAAGGCAATTATTTGATGATGGGTTTTTTACCCCTCTCTGAGATAACTGGAAAATTGTGCTGTGAAACTGACTGACTGACTACAACAACCAACAAATCTTCTTTTAAGGGCTTCAGAAAGTGGCACGTGTTGTTATATCACTGTAGTAACCTGTATAAAAGTCTCAGGCTGTCATATTATGCTGCTCCTGTAAAGGTACCCTTTAATTACTTAACGTTGCCCAACAAGACTTGTTCTCTTGATCTCTGAGAGGAGAAACAGAAGAAATAGGTTGTCATTGTACTGAATGGCATTATACATCCTAATGTTAGTATTTAAAATAAGTACATTGTCACTAAGTACAATGCATAAGTACAGTGCATCTCAAGCCAGTCCAGAGAGGTGATACTCCCCCTCTATGCGACTTTGGTCAGGCCGCAGTTGGGGTACTGCGTCCAGTACTGGGCACCACACTTCAAAAGGGATGTGGCCAGCCTGGAGAGAGTTCAGAGGAGGGCCACCCGCTTGGTGAGAGGGCAGCAGGACAGGCCCTACGAGCAGAGACTGAAGGACCTGAACCTGTTCAGCCTCAGCAAGAGGAGGCTGAGGGGGGACCTGGTGGCTGCCTACAAACTTATCAGGGGGGATCAACAGCAAATAGGCAGAGCTCTTTTATCTGCAGCACCACCTGGGGTGATGAGGAATAATGGTAATAAGCTGATGGAGAATAGGTTTAGGTTAGAGATCAGAAGGCAATATTTTACAGTTAGGGTGGCCAAAATCTGGAACCAACTTCCCAGGGAGGTGGTCCTCACCCCTACTTTGGGCAAATTCAAGAGGAGGTTGGACGATCACCTGTCTGGGGTCTTGTGAACCCAGCATTCATTACTGCCTGTGGCAGGGGGGGGGGGCGGAGGGGTTACGTCAGTGCCGGCCTCCCCTAGCTACTATGAAACTGTGAAACTAAGATGATGAATTAGTTCCATTAGGTCAAACCTTCAAGTCTCTCTTGGGTTTATCTCATTTTTTCCTTAATATCTATCTCTTAATAAATGTACTTGTAAATAACATAGGCCTTGAATCCTGCAAGGCCTGGAACAAAAGGCAATGATTTGTAAGTTTGATTAGTTGATGGCACGATTCACACCCTAAATATTAGGGTGAACGGGGGCCAGAAGGCCCAAAATCTCGTAGGAACAAGCCCAGAGACCCACACTGCAATCCTCATTCACAGTGCTCACATCTACATTATGAATGAGGGTGTATTTATTTTTAACTAGCCCATATTAAAAGTTCAGTGAAGACAAGGCAGTTGTAATTTTTACCCATGTTAGGAGAAAAACCAAATCTGTGTCTTCACTGTGAAAAATAGGTGTCTTGTTATAATAAGAGTTAGCTCACATTACCTGTCACAGTGTAAAATCCTCGCAGCGACAACCCATAGTAATTCTTAACCTTGGTGCATCTAATTAAGATTAACTCTACTTGATGGGGCATGGGGTTAAGTTTGACTAGCTACATGAAATGAAAACTTAACTGTGCCTTGTCTCGTGTAGGATTTCACATGGTTATGACACGATTGTTGTCTCATTGTAAAAACACACTGTGTAAATATCTATATGAAAACACATGCCAAAGTCCCATGGAAGTTCCATCAGTTAAGCATGTGCTTATAGGCTAGATTTCTTAATGCCTGTAGGTTTGCTTAAGCCCCATTAAGTTAGTCACCTTAAACTTTTAGGCTAAGTACAGACAGTCAAAAAGCCCCAGGCTGAATTGGTTCAATCTTTGCATGTTTCTCTAAACTGCGTAGATTAAACTGATAAGCAAGTGAACAGACATTCGCTTTTGATTCTGGAAATGCAGCCACATGCCTGCCGTGGCCCAGACCAGAAGCTGGGGGATGCTAGAACACACCTCCCTGCTTGGCTGGACCAGAGAGCTTGGGCCAGAGCTAGTCCACCTGCCCTGAAAGGAGCAAGGGTAGCAGGGGAGGTGCACAGCATTCAGGGATGCTGGAGGACTTGAATCTGGAGAGAATCTGGGACAGAAGTTCAATAAACTGATTTATCTTAAATCAGTTAAGTCTGTATATATATATATATATATATATATACACTGAACTTCTGTTGTGTAATAGTTTTGAACCATTTTCCAATCACTTATACCATTTTTTGTGTAATTTCTGTCCCTAGCCTTAAACATCTGGCCCAGATTGCTGTGCTGAATCTGGCTGTCAGCCTGTTTGCCTGCAGGTGCTGACACTATCAGTTGTGAAACAAGAACTCTACAGGTTTAAGCTGTGAGAGTGGTAAATGGAGCATTTTGGCAGTTTCCTGCTTAAAAGGTGGGGTAGATTTGCACCTTATAGGCTAACCATATAGAGACAGATATAGTATGGTGCAAATCTACCCAGCCTTCTACATGACTGCAGACTAACATAGCTAACTATGTCTCTCAGTTTCCTGCTTAAACAATGAAAGGTCTCATGGGGCTTGATTAAAATAGGATGATAATGAGTTTGAGACAGAAGGCTTCCTGTGGTGTCACCTGTACAAATATGTTTCCTTTTCAGCAACATGTTGACTGCCAGCAAAAGGCTCAGAAATACAAACTTTAAACAAAAGCTTTCAGTTGAACTAAGTTTTCCTGTTTTCTATGCACCAGCAACAAAAGGGGCTAGTTTTCAATTAAATGAAGAAATATGACTGGAACATTCAACTGAGACGTGGGATTAATTCAGTATATTGTCTATTCTTTGCTTCAGTGTCCCTCTATTGACACAGATAGAATTGCTCTGGGTTTCTACCAATATAAGTGAGATGACAATTTAGTCCTATCATTCTTCATTTGAATTTATGACTGAAGTTAAATTGGAAAGTGCCTAATCCGTTTTAGCATGTATTCATGGGAATAGTTAATCACAATCAAGGCAAACATGTTTGTCCATGTGTACACGCATACACACATACACACTCTCTCTCTCTCTCTCTCTCTCTCTCTCTCCCCTTGCTTGTAGGGAGGTGTAAGCCTAGACAACTTTTCCTGCAGGCAAAATATATATTACAAAGTTTGTTTTATTTTTTTTTCAACTCCAGGTTCTTATTCCTTTGACTCGCTGTAACTCTCATAAGGAAACAATCAGAGGGCAAGTGAAAGTCAGAAATGCTGGTATCTACATGCTGATATTTGACAACACGTTCTCTAGGTAGGTGCATTTGGAGTATAAAGGTTGAAATATACAAGGTTTTGTGGCTTGTGGAATTGGTTAGACTCCCTATTATTTTACCATTTAGCAATTGTCAAAAATTGGTTGAGGTGGCCTAAGTTAAATTTTTTATGAATGCAGCTTTTCCATATTTCTATAACATCATTCCATGCTTCAGTCTGCTTGACCTGAGAAGAGAAACAAAAGAGAGAGAGTCACTCGTGACTGCTTTCAAGCCAGTACAGAGTCAGGATCATCTTCTTGTAGGAGCTGAACATATTTGATCTAATCTAGCTTGCCTGCCTTGGGCAAAACTTCCATTAAAACCAGTGGAAATTTTGCCTGAATAAGGACAGTTGAATTTGACCCCTTATTGTGTGTGGGATGTACCTGTGTTGCATTAACCTGATCTTATTCTGCTTTTGTTTGTACAGGTTCATCTCAAAAAGAGTCTTTTATCACTTGACTGTTGAACGACCTGTGATCTATGATGGAAGTGATTTTCCAGAGCCTTGAATATATGGTGTTATTTTTAAGCATATTTTTAAGAAACACTATTATTTATATATGTGTGTGTGTGTGTGTGTGTGTGTGTGTGTGTGTGTGTAAGCACTAAAAATACCACTGTGTTTGAAGACCCTTTAAAACTACACAACAGTTACAAAAAAAAAAGCACTTACTATATGTTTACACCTAAGAAACAGATATCATTCATATGACCATTAATGGTTCTGTACTGTGTACAGATTGCTCAAAAAAGCATGTTGTTTAGTAGGGTTGGTCAGAAATTTTCCACCATTTATTTTTATTGAAAAATTGGGTCTAAAAAACCAGATTTTACTAAACACTTTTGTCAGTAAACCAAATATTTTAGCTAAAATGAATTTTTTAATTGAAAAATTTGAAAATTGTTTTTCTTGACATTTAGAACAGGGCATAAAAATAAACACTTCTAACCAGCTGTATTTTCTTATGAAAACAACAACTATGCAATAGTCCAGTCATTAAAGACATATCATAATCTTTATAAAAGTATTACCTTTTTGCAAAATTTATAAACAGCAAAGATAGCTTTTATATAACCAGTTTAGGCTTAAAATATCTTACTGGCTGTTTTTAAAAATGCTAGTTACACAAATATGCTGCAATAGCTCTATAATTCTGAATTACTTCTGCCACTTTTGCCTTCTGTACCCTGTAAAGAGTGAAAGTTCTTGCAGAGGAAGGTACTTCTGAAGGTGAGTAACATTGGCAGAATAAGTGTACAATCTGCTGAATTAATTGGACCTCCAGTACATGACACTAAAGAAGAGAAAATGGGCATGGTTCTTCTTCCTTTTCCTTTTTTCCTGTTTTGGCACCTTAAACTGCAACATTCACAAGAAAACAAAAATACTTTAAGATGGAAAATGACAAAAACAGTTCCTTTCTGTACACTGAGCGGAAGGTAGCATGTAACGGACCTGATAACACTTGACTCTATCTAAAGAAACCCACCCAGGCTTGACTATATCAAGACACAGTGGACACGTCTACATGAGATGCCTAATGCGCAGTAGACTAATTCTACTGCACATTAGCGCATTATGGCAAAAACTGTGCTAATGCACTAATGCTCAGTAGAATTATTAGTCTACTATGCATTACGCACCACAAAAAGCCATGCCCCATTGCTACTGCACTTTAGCTCCAGCTACTGCGCATGTATGTAGTACCTCATACTAGAGGTACTAAACTTAATGCACAGTAACAGCGGTGCATTAATGCATGTGTAGACGTGCCCAATGAAACCTTCATCCTTCTCCTCTTTTCTCCTATCTGTCTCTCTCACTCTTAGCAGTTCCATTACATCATTTTTTCTTTCTTCTTTTTCATCTTTCCCCTATTTCTGCTTCTTCAAGTCACATTCAGCCTGAGTCTCTCCTCCTTTACTCAGTGATTTCCTTTCCATTTCCAGGCTAAATCAGGTGATACCCATTCCCCACTGTCCACCTGACCCTCCTACTTCTTTCCTGCCATTTCCTCACCCCATTTTCATCTCAATTCCCAGCTGCAGTGTTCAGTCGCTGCTAGATCCAGCATGGCTGCCATATGAAAATATGCATTTCTCAATGGGGTTGGCCAAAAAAATTGCCACCAAAGCCGTTTTCGAAGGAATTTTTCAACAAAACAGAATATCTGTGCAAAGTTTCTGCTCTCTATGGACAATATCAATATTTTGACAAAACATTTGCAATTAAAAAGATTTCATTTTTTGACAGAAATTAAATTGGGGGGGGAGCCCTAGTTTCAAGTCCAGACTGAGGCAGCTGGTTATCTATAGGAGACTTTAAGGATGGAGAGTGGGGAGACAAAAAAAGCATTGGGTGAGGCTGGGGGCAGAGGATTCTTCATCAGAGTTCAGTTCAGGCTGGGAGAAAGATAGACGTTCACATTGTTTTTTATACTTTTCTAGCTGAGTTTCTCACCCCTATGAGGCCCCATTTATTGTGATAGACCTGATGCAGACTGTTGTAGGTAATTGCAAAAAAGCTGCTATTCATTTAGACAACAATTCGAGCACCTGACATTTTGTAGGAACTAATGATCATCTGAAAGAAGAAGAGTTAATTGTCCAAAATAAAGCAGAAGACCATTAATCCCAAGTGCCCAGGTCATTACTGGTGTTATAAACTGCAAATTAAAAGGCAGAGACGAAGCTGTGGACCTTTGCTTTGGGTGATTTAGTTTGTAGTTGGTGAATATAGGGCATTTTTATACAGTGAAAGCTCTTTAGATAGCCTTTTATGCAAATATAAATCTTATTGATTTCAACAGGCTTTGGATTGGGCCCGATATTAGTCAGTCACATTACCTGACTTGTATTGTAACATTCCATTCAGTTTATAATCTAGTTCTTCTTTATTGTTGTTACTATGTGTAAACTTCATGAGGAAGATGCATCAAAGGAGCTGAGGGGTCAAACACAATTAAAATTAAACTCTTATTTTGCTGCGAATGTACTTAACATTTAAGAATTTCATCAGGGTGGAGAGGAGATTAAAGTGGATAGCGAATAAGCAATAAACAAATTGTGCACATTATTTTTCTAGAATATTATTTTAGTGTTGGAGTTATAGTTTGTATTTAATTAGGAAATAAGAATTTATTTAATGGAATACCATATACCATTCACTATGCAGTATAATGGAAGTCCACAGCAGTTTTCCTTAAGCTTTTAGGTGTGATTTTTAAAATAATTTTGTTACTGTTTTAGTTAGGATACTAATTTTACTGGGATAATTTTTGTAAAATGCCAAATGTAATTTAAAGGAACACTGTCAAATATATTAGCCTTGGCTATACCCATTAACACTGTAAATATTCTGATAGCGAGTGGCTTCTAGATGTTGTTTCTGTCTCTCTTTTTTCTTAAACCTATCACTCTGTCCCAAAGAATAGTTTTGAAAAGCTACTGCTTGTGCAGCTCCTAGGATAAATGGTTCTCTGCGGCACACACCGTATTTCCAATAATATTTCTGAGCGTTAATGATCAAGAGTTTAGCTTTAAAAATTGTGAGTGTTTGGGGGTTTTTTAAATGATAAATACTGAGGGCTTTAGAATGCACTTGCTTCCATTTTCAAGCTTTTCTCTGTAATCATAAGGGCTAAAACCTCCTTTTTTGGAAAATGAAAGCTGAGCACTCTCTTGCAAATATCCCGATCCTGAGAGCTTGGGCTTTAAAAAAAATTAAATCATTAAAAATCTCAAGAATAGGCAACATTGAAAAACAGCCATTCAGGATCAAGATCGCAAATCTATGAAGAAAGCCCTTCAGAACTGTGTAGATATCAGTTACACTAATAAGATAATATCTGGCAATGTAGCAAGAAATGTACTATATTAGGAGGCCACAATAAAAAAGAAGGAAAAAATATAGTTTCCCAGAGTCTCAGCTTTATTAGAGCGCTGCAGTGTCTAAGGCTGTTGTGGCTCCTGTTATGGTTTAGAGCAGTGGTTCTCAACCTTTCAAGACCAAAAGGCCCCCTCATTAGACACAAGGTGCCCCTCAGAAAATGCGAGCTCTTTAATTTTCGCTTTTTTTGGAGTAGAGAAAGATAACAAAGCAATTCTTCGGTTGTAAAGAAGTCAGAAAGACCAGGAAAGATAAGAATCTTTTCAACACTACAAATTCCAATTTGAAAACTCTGGATTTATTTTGTGAATCATGTTTGCACCCTGATTGAGAATCATAGGTTTAGAGAAACATCTTTCAGAGGTGGCTGTGTGCTCTATTTCAGTTGGAGGTTTGTATAAAAGGAAGTGGCAGTTGTATATCAGCTACCTGGGGAATCCCCACCTGCTCCAGTTGCCTTTCTGCTCTCTGAAATGGGGCAGAGAAGCGAAAAAAAAAAAGATGGCAAGGGCAGGAAGAGTATTTTCAAGTCAATAAGAGGTTCTAACAAATAGTTTGTTTAAAGGAAAATGAGCTGGCTTTCCTTGATTTGTATGGAGCTCTGGAAAGACAGTGAAAATCCAGCCATCTTATCTGAAAGCATAACATTTTGCCATGTATCTGTCCATTGTGCCGTACAAGGAGTACAGTGTCAGCCTCGCTGGTTTTCCATTAATGAATGGGCCCAAAGCAGTCCCTAATGGAAAATACCACACAAAAGAAAGAGTTATTCAAGGGGCTTAGATCAGTGATGCTTGACCTTTTGAATCCATGGACCAGATGAGGGGACTGGAGCTGGTCCATAAGCCATATTGGGCACCTGCGGCAGAATTGGACTCCATATTGTCTCGGCCCAGCTTGGCCTCCAATGGTCTCTGATGCCAAAACTGGGCCCCACGGCTCTGTGCTGCCTCGGCCCAGCATTCATAAACCAGGATTTGGCTCTGGGGCTGCGCGTTGCCTCTGCCCAGCCCTGCTCACTGGGATTGGGCTCTGGGGCTCCGTGCTGCCCCTCCTCACTGGTATCAGGCCCCATGCCACCCTGAATGCCCATTCCAGTGCACAGGGCCATGCTGTCTGACCCCACGGGTCCAGAAATGTGATAGCAGGGCAGTGGTACCACTGGATCTGCCTCATGTGCTGAGGTTGAGCACCTGTACCTTAGACCCCTGTTCAACAAAGGGCTATTGCACAGGAACAGTCGCATTGAAGTCAGTCAGGCTGCTCATACTTAAATATGCGCTCAAAAGCTTTGAATCAGTTCTTTTATGAACTCAACATCCCCCGTAATGGATATAAGAGAAAAGACTCATTTTAATCCAGGGTGAAACTAAATGAAAAGGATACAGTCTGGTGCTTTTGTAGTCAAGAAACTTTTGTATCCAAGAAAGTACACATAACAGACAACATAAGTGGTTGGGTCCCTTTGCGGGGTATCAGGGTGATGTGCTAAACGATTCTTTCCTCCCCAAGTTCACTCTTTTTTTAGGCATAGGGTAAAATTTAGTTGCTTTTTTTTTTTCAAAATATGGCAGTGTTCCTTTACATTTCTCTAAACATTATTGCAAATTGGTTCATGAAAATGTCTCAAGTGGAAGAGTTTGCCAATTTAAACTGTGGTAAACTATGTGTAAAGATACTATGCATGACTGCTGCTTTGTGTTTCAAAATTGAACTTGCACTACAGCTCTAACAATCCTCAATTGTAGCTTATTCAGAACCATCCTTTGCTCATGACTGCCAAAGAATTGCACAGTGAATTTGCACCAAACTTCAATTTATCTTTTGCAGGGAAATAAAGATTTCCATGTATTAAAGTCTGTACATTTATGGGGATGTAGATGGCTGTGTACTGGAATGTTTGTTGATGCTTTTTTTTTTAACTCAGGAATTAAATAAATAAAAATCGGTCTCCTTTAAAAATGAACCTCCCTTTTCTGCTTATAGGTACAATTTTGTCTTAAAGATGAGAAAATTTTGAATACTAGACCATTTGATTTTAAGCAAGGAAAAAGATCTTATATAGTTTGAAAATGAATCTTGTTTGTGTTGCTCTTGTCCCAATAAAGTAACAAGAGTTCGGTTTACCTCTGCATGGTGGTTAAAACAGAGACTGTGCACAGGGGTGAATTTCTCCCATTACAAATGTCATGAATCTCATTCTTCCATGAATACAGAGTCCCCTGTTCCTGTATAAGCACCAAAGTAGTAGCCTACTTCTCAAAACGGCTGAATATCTATTTGAAGTGTATCTACCATTAAAATGTTTTGAAAATCAATACTACAGAATTTGAGGCCAGTTGTGGCGATGCCCAAATATGGAAGGAAGAACTTAACTTTAGGCACCCAAGTATGAAAATTCTGGCTTTATCTTATAGCAGTGATTTTCAACCTTTTTTCATTTGTGAACCCCTAAAAACTTTTGAATGGGGGTACAGACTGCCAGGAAAGCCTCATGCCCCCAGAGGCTGGGGGGGTATGGTGAGCTCCTGCAGGTGGCAGCAGCTCTTTCAGGGGCAGGAGCGTGGCAGAGGCAAGTAGGGAGCTACCGCAGGCAACCTCAGTGCTGTCTGCAGCGGGGATGGGGAGCAAGCACCAACCAGTGGTTGGCAACCACCCACAGATACCAGCGGCAGTGGCGGCGGCGGCAGCTGGCAGCAATCACAGACCTCCCGCAGATGCCACTGGAAGTGTCGGTGGCAAGGGGTGGGTGGCAAGTGGCAACAGAGGCGCAGACCCCTTTGAATTGTAAGTGTGGGCATTTACATACTTTTGATTGATCATGGTAGTCTTTCATGGACCCCCTAGACAGATTGAAAACCTGTCCTATAGTGAAACAATAGTGGGCAAGATCAGTAAGGTACTGCTGGGGCCATCAGTGGGCATGAAAAAAAAACAGTGTTCAAATGGCTGAAAAGAAACAGCATCACCCAAAATAGCAATACATCCTGAAATGACTGTGGATGGGATGGACAACTGCAGCTCTCCTAAAATATTCTCCTGCTTCCACCAGGGAATCTGTATACCTGGCAGGGTAAGTGAGCAAACAACCCAGCTGGGGTCTCAAACTTCCTGTGAGAGGTGAATTTCTGCTAAGGAAATAGAATCATGGAAATGTAGGCCTGGAAGGGACCTCTGGAGGTCACCTAGTTCAACCCCCTACCTGAAGCAGGGCCATCGCTATCCAAACCATCCCATATAAATACTTGTCTAACTGAATACTAAAACTATAATCAACCCTGTCACACAACCGGAAGACACAGCACTTTAACCTGCCACAGGTAAAGCAGAGGACAACAGCGGCCAGCGTCATGCTGCTGCAAACTTTGTTAACATACGCTCAAGAGATCCAAAGAAGAGGACCATGCTCCCCACTACAGAGGAAGGCAGAACCACCCCCCACAAAGGCAGCAGCGAGCAAGGCTGGGGTGGGGAGGGGAGGGGAGGTGCTACTGGGCACAGGGGGGAAGTGAGATGGGAATTCTTACCTGATTTAGGGACTTTAAAAAGTCCCCAGCTGCTGCTCCTCCCGTGTTGTTAATTGAAAGAGGGGGATGTTCGCTTCCTTTGAACCCCCCTCTGCACCCACTCTGGGTAGGCACCAAATTTACCAGTGGTGGTGCCCACTTTTTGCATAATAATGTAATAGTGAGAGGTGGTTAGAGCACTCATTTAGGTAGTGGGACACCTGTGCTCTAGGACCTTTCCAGCATGAGGAGATTCAGCTTTCATATGTCCCCCATGAATGCCTTCTTTATTGGGCTAAAGAGTCAGGCTCCCTCCTGCTTGCTCCCCGTCTACCCCCATCACTCTCATCTTCCTGCCTGGCTCATGACCCAGCTTCTGTAGAAGCAGAGGGTGCCAAGGACAGACTATAGCCTGGTCATTGAAGCATTCTCCTGGAAGTGGGTATCTGGGCTTGGCACGTTAAGGATGGCCTAGAAGTTTCCTAAGCCTCCTGTATCCCACAGCCTAGGTGAGCAAGGCAGGACCCAGGTGGCCTTCAGGGGTGGCTTTGCTGCCCCAGGTACGGACCTGCTACAATCCAAATTAGAGCTGAATCATATAGTCTGAAATCTAATTATACTGTTCCATTAACCTAACCGTACAATTATTCATATGAGAATATAAAGCTTTCCAAAAAATGACTCATAAGCCAGGTTGCATGACCAGGTCACAACCTTTCTATATGAGAAACCGTGAGAAAATTCAGATTAGTTTCAGAACACTGAAGAAGTGTCACGTCTCAATTAAACCCCAAAATGTGTTATACCAAGCAACCACACAGTAAAGACTATATTTATCAGGAGGAAGACTAAACACTTCAAAGTGATAAGGAAAAGTAATAATGAAAGTAGCAAGCACAGGTCTGGGGTATTTTGAAGAGCAGTGTTTCACTTTTTCCCACACAAAGTGATATTATGAAGAACCATGATAAAGAGCTCTTCTCCAAACTGTTAATTTTTTATAAGGCTTGGTCTACTGCTCTAGATTTTTTTACTTGACAGATGTTAATGTGGTTTACTCGGTGTTTGAAGACCGTGTGCTCCTTTCTGATTCTCATGTAAAGATTCCATTTCACCAACCAAAATGAGTTGCGTACTCCCACAGGCGAGCTAAAAAAGAAACATAGGTAGTGCCCTGCTCAGAAAGATGAGTCTATGGACTGCTGGATGGATCTGGGTCTGGAGTTTTCAGCAAAAGCCCTTTGGCCTGTACTTCAGCAGCAGCTAAGGTTTGTATATTCATTATTCAAGCTTAGTACTTGAGAAGGAAGTGTGCAGAGGAAGTAAAATGTTTAACTAGAATAATGAGAAAGGAATGGTGTTATGAGCCCTGCTGTTTCCTATTCCTCACTTCTGAATCTGTAAGTAAGTCTGGAAGGGAATTTAAAAAGAACTTGCTCAAAATAGTAGTGCCTATTTAAAAAAATCATTAGAATTATGATGAAAATGTTTTTGGATAGGAAAATGTGTTCAGAGTTTGGAAAAGCTCAACAATGTGTCAGTTACGAGCTTTATTCTAAGTTTCAGTGCAAAAGCCGCCTCTCCGTTTGATGCGGTCTGAAGTGTTAATGTTCAGAGACTGCCTTGTGCTCAGCACTCCAGCCTGGTGTCAAGGATCCTCAGTTCTCATCGACATCAGTGATCACTGAGGGCACTCATAACACCCTAGGAAAGCTCAGCACTTTTAGGGATGTCTTTTTACTAGGTAAGATAGTAGACCCTTATGGGTTGGATAAATAGGCATATTTATTTATTAATAAACATTATCCATTATAATTTATACATAATTACAAATTATAAAAATACATGAAATTACTCTAAGGTATGCATTACTATACCTATTAATTATTATAATTCATTCTAAAAGTTTATAAATTATAATTTGTAAAATACATATAAAAAGCTCCATGCTTTTAGGGATGAATCTTCACAGTCGATCCTTATAGATTGGATAAATAGGCATCTTTATTTATTTGTTGTTTCTTCTGTTTGCAGTTTGGGTGTTCTACTTGCAGGAGTGCTCTATGCACTAGCCCTGTCTCTGCTTTCCCCTTTGGAGCTTTATACTTTTCACTCACTGTTAATTGTTATCTTGCCATTTGAAGATCACATTTTTCAAAGCGATTTCTAATCACTATTATCAAAATTGCACATCCATGCTCATTTTTATACAAGTTTGCAGATGGGGGTCACTGTGCATCTTACTGCCTGACTTTTACATACAAATCTGACTTCAGTATAGGAATAGGGGGGTTGTGGGAAAATTTCACTCAGAATTGAGGCTGTGTGGAAATATTGCTCTTAATTATGTCCCGGATAACTGTTCTATCTTGGCTGCTTACTAAAAATAACCACAGGTGATATATTTTTACAGAATATGTTATTGTGCATAATAGAGAGCAGAGTGCTGGGTAGAAAAAAATAAAGATTTTTTTTTAAATAAAAAGTGATGCTTATATATCAGATTTTTATTTAAATTTCTATTTAATTTTAACCCCTATTAAAAATTGAATTAATTTAAAATTATAGCAAACTTAAGGTAAGGCCTAACCTCATTATGCAAATCATTTTAATTTTAAAAGTAATAATAATAAGCAGCACTTGTTTATGGCTGAAATTTTAAAGAAAGTCAGACCACTGAAGTGGTGGACATCTCTGGCTAAGCACATGGAACCAGGGTATGTTAAAATGCTAAACTGGCTTCTCACAGTAAAAGCTTTTTCATAGGTGCTGAGGGAACTATTTTCCACATTTAAATGTATTCAATGAATTTGAAGTTAAAAACAGGTTGGGAGTTGGAAAAGCAAGAAATCTTATTATTGAGAGCTGAGTGTAAGCAGATAAGCTCTGCTAGTTCTACAATTTTGAAAGATATGGAGACCAGAAACAATGTTAAATTCTTTAATTACAATAATGTTTTACTGAATTCCAATTTCAATCCAAACAGAGCTTGATGGAACCATGAATAAAAAAAAAAAAATCATTTAATAAGAAAGAAGGAAAGACTGACCATTTTCTAACATGATGAAAAAATGTACAATTTAAAAAACCTAAAGGTATGTTAAGCAAAATAACTATTTAAAATATGCATAGATTTAGTGTATCTGCATACTTAGCAGCGGTAACTTTAGAAAACTATATTTATTAACCTCTTTTAATATTTGCCGGCCAAAGAGTGCTATTTAAGGAAATAAAAGTACAAGACTAAATTTGACAATTTAAGTTCATTTTTTGCTGATTTGAATCACAATCAAAATTGGCAGTTTACATTTCTGATTTAAATCAGTCCAAACTGGTAGAGAACAAGCTGAGAACGACTTCTGCTTGTAACTCAAAGGTAGGGACGATAATCTTGCTGCTAAGGCACAGAACTGAGAGACAGGAGCCGTAGCGTTTATTCCTCACTGTCACAGACACCTTGCATAACTGGTATCTTTGGAAAATATTTTTTTAATGCTTCTACGGTGGTTTGACATACTGGGGTAGAAGCAGCTGTGGAAGTGCAGGGTACTATTATATCCTTATGTAAAACTGTTTCATCCCAAGTGATCTGAAGGGAAAAGTCTTTCTCACAGGTTCCACCCATTTCCACTATCTGCCATATAAAGTTCAGGCTGGATATAATTTTTTAACCATTTTATTATGCTCAGTAATTATCCTTATTACCACTGATTCTTTCAGGCATCAGTTTGTCCACAATTCCAGCATTACCAGGGCTGTTCAGTTTGAAAAGCAAATCCCACATTGACAGAAAATGACAAAGTCTCTCTCAAAAAAATTACCCTAAATTGTAAGGTTTACTAATATACAAGGCAAGCTTCTAATAACAAAATATGACATGTTGTATGATATGAGCTGTGCCTATAATTTCACTTCAAAATCAAATAACTAAATTAAGAATAAAAAATAGCTTATTTTTACAAAGATTACCTTGAAAATGCAAAATCTAACAGGGAAAGGCCATATGTTATTCTGATAATATAATGCCTTTGTAACTAGTACAGATATTTATCTGCATATACTAAAATTACTTACAAAGCAGAAAGACTGAAGAAAAAACACATGCTGATAGCCAAATTCTGTTCTCCTTCATACATGGGCAAATCTATACCACTTACAGTAAAGTGGACTATGAATCCCTGTAACTCATGGAGGCAAATGAGAGATGCAGGCCCAGAATTTTTTTTGCTTAGTCAACATGGACCAGAATTGTGTCATAGCATGAGGCAGCCATCACATTTCTTCTATGCCTCTTGTTTGAGGAGATAAGCAGATTGTCTCCTTAAGTCACTTGCTTGTTGAGCGTGCTCATTGGGACAGATGGGTTGGTTATTTACACCTGTAACAAAGATACTTTTATCTCCTCTCTCATTTATCAGTTCTGCTTACAATCAGCATCATCACTACTTCCCTGTCCGTCAATGGTTTCGCTTCCCTTTGCCCAAAAGCCCACAGCTTGAGCCTTAAGCGTGCTGAGCCCTTGTAGGAGGAATGCTGGGCACCCTCAAGTCCCACAGACTTCTCTGAGAGTTAAGAATGCTCAGCATTTGCAAGATCAAACTCTGGATGAGATTGCTAATTCAATCTGTTGTAAAGGTCTTTTTCTCTCATAGTGCAAGAATTATGTAAAAAGGCCAAATTTGATATCTTTCATGATGGCTAGAGTCTCTCTGCTTCCTATAGGAGACAGGCAGATGCAAATTAGAGCTCCAGCTCAGTGCTGTCCATAAAAGTACCTCTGATTTTTAATCCCCCAACCATTGTAGATGACCACACTGAGCTCCGTTCTTGGCTATCCCATGGGGAGGTGACATGCTCCTTGCTCTTACTGCTACAGTGAGCTGCATTCTTCAGAATTTGAATGAGAGCATTACGGAATCTCTGCCCAACAAACACATAAAGGGCAGGGTTGAGGCAGGTGTGAAAGAAAGCGATGATCTGAGTTATCTGGAATCCAATGTCCATGGCGTCCGCAGTTTTGCAGTCATATCTGACCATGGTATACGTATGAATGGTTTTGACCATCAAAACAATATTTTAGGGAAACTGAGAGAGGAGGAAAACTGTGATGATGATGACAATGATTTTCAGTGATTTGCGTTTTTGGGATTTTTTGGTTTGACGAAGGGTACGGATTATAAGAGTGTAACAAACAACCATGACAAGAAAGGGAAGTAAGAACCCTATTGTGATTTTCAAAGACAGGAGAATAACTTTGATGGATGTGTTAAGAGTGGTGGGGTACATCATTTTGCATGTAGTTGTATCACTGACTTGCTTAACTTTACTGTATACTATTTCTGGGATGCACAAACTTATCGCAGTCAGCCAGACAGCAAAGCAAATAACTTTGCTGCGGAAGAGCCTCTTCCGTCTAGAGTTCTTTGCTTTCATTGCCTGCACAATTGTAATGTACCGATCAATACTAATGCACATCAGAAACAGCATGCAGCTGTAAAAGTTGATCTTATACATGCTATTGACAATTTTACACATAACATTCTTAAAGATCCAACCATCCAAAGCTGCTTTTGCCCAGAAAGGGAGCGTTGAGAGGAAAAGTAGATCAGCAATGGCCAAGTGCAATAGGTATCTGTCAGTCATGCTCTTCCTGAACCTGTGTTTGCAGTAGACAAGGATAACTAAGGCATTTCCTAATGTGCCCAAAGAGAACACAAGGCAGAAAAATGTTGGCAAGAAAGTCTTAGCAAATTCCATGATATTACTCTTTTCACAATAGGTGTCTGTGTCATTGAAGATGGTGTTGTCTGGAGGCATCATCGAAGTGGAATTCATGTGATAATGCAAACTAGCTGTGTCATTTTGTGTGGCCTGCAATGGAACAGCAGATTAGCTTTGTGCTGAGGGAATAGTTAATAAGGAACAGTGAAACTGATTTTTTATACCAGTCATCTAGGAAAATTTCCATAACCAGAAATAGGAAACCAAATACCCTGCTTTGGCCATAGATGAAAGTAATACCCAATAATCCATGATACATCTTAGTCTAAATAAGTAATTCTCAATCAGAGTGTCACAGCACCCTGCGGTGCCACAAGATCCATTCAAGGGTGCTGTAAGGTGCCATGCAATGTTAGGACTGTTAGGTGTGCAAATGTGCTTTACAAGAGAGATCCAGAGATTTCAAACAGGAATTCATAGTATTAAAATATAAATTAATATTAAATATTCTGGCCTGTTGTGGTTTTTTCAAGTAACAGAAGAATTGCTCTATCATTTTTCTGTAGTCAAAAAACAAGCAAAAGCTAAGACCTGGCATTTCCCAAGGGATGCCTCAAGTCTAAAAATGTTGAGAACCACTGGTCTAAGTAGTGAAGAGCAAGGGCCACCTAAAAAATAATATCCAAGCATCTTGAAATGTGCCTACACCCAAAGTCTCAACTTTTCACCAGTAGGAATCTCCCCTGAAACCCAAAAGCTCAGTTTTGGTCTTTCTCTTGAAAAAACAGTACAGCTGAAATGGCTGCTAGTATAAACTGGTATAGCCCCATCAGCTTCAACAGTTGTTTTTCTTTATACTGGAAGGGAATTTGGCCTACAGAAGATTTAGCTGTCTAATTACAATTGGGAGACTGTCAGCTATGGCAGGTTGTGTGAAAATCAGTGAGAACCTTTCTATAAATGTCAATGGAAGCTGTATCCAACAATTGGCAGTGAATGTACTTTCCATTGTGCTGTCATAGTTTCCAAATTGATCACCGGGACGCCAGAAGTAGACAGCTACTTTTCATCCACAAGATATGTGTTTTTCTTCAACTTCGAATGCTTGTTTTTAACATGTGAGATGGTGTCAGACCCTACTGTGCAGTTAAAAAAACAAAACAAGTGATGTGCTATTGTATCTGTCTACTCATCAGCAGGTAGATCAGTTGCATCATAAAGCTATAAACCACAGTGTTAGCCATGGTGCCAAATGAGATTTTCCCTATCATCTTTTCTGAGATCTTCAGAAGGGATAATATAAAATAGTTTTGTATTACAACAAGGGCTCATAAAAATTGCTGATCAGACATTGAAACCTTTTAACCATTTGGTTAGTTAATTTGTTCATTATTTGGTTAGTCGATCCAGGCTAGGGGCAGATATTACACACAAACCTGTTTAAGTGATCAGAAACTGGTTTAAACCTGTAACAGAACGGATGTTCTGTACACATAAACCAGTTTGAAAATGGCTGAAACCAGTTTGGGGTAAACCTGGTTGAAAGTTGTATCACACTTAACTGATTTGACTCAAACTGATTTTTGAAATGTCTATCCCAGACCCCTTGCTGGTTTAAGTGAAATCAGACTCCCCCAGCATCCTGGCATGCTCTCTGGGCTGAGCGGGGCTCTCTGCCCCACAGCAGGGCTGGCCCCTCCCCTCTGCTCCCTGGCTGGAGCTCAGCACAGACTTGCAGGCACAACAGGGTCTGCTGGCTTCCCTGTACCCCCCATCACTTGCTACTTAAGCAGAGATCCCTTCCTCCTCTCTGCCACAGCAGGGATGGTAACCAGCATGTGGTATGTTAACTAATGCCAAGAGGTGTCTGTGTGTGTGTGTCCCTCTCCAATTTCACTGGGATAGGCAGACAGAACAGTGAATACTTAGGGCTTTTGGAGTTAATCAACAGGTCAGCTAGTAAGCTGTTTAAGAAGTTTCAAGTAATGTGGAGAGAGGCTATTGTTCTGCTAATAGAGTGATAAAGACTGTTATCAGCTCCCTGACTGGCTTGCTTACCTGTCAGTTTGCTTCAGACAGTATGACAAAGCAGGGAGGGAGATGGAAAAGCTCCGTATCATCAACAGATGCGTGCACTGCACACTTCTTGCCTCAGAGTGCTAGCCAGGGACTGGGGACTGGCAACACTCCTGCCCCTTGAGCAGCCAGCAGGGAAAAGTCTGGGACAATGCAAATAGACCTCCCTAATGAGCATGGGCGACTGGTGCCTCCCAAATCCTCCAGTGGCTAATCACTGACCAGGGTGGAGGGGGTCCCCCAGTGGCCAATCACCAAGCCCGGAACCACCAGCGGCAAAACCAGAGGTGCACTTCCGGTTTCGTGGCTGGTGCTTCCAGGGGGTGCATGGCCAATCCCAGGGGTGCATGTGCACCAGTGTGCACCTCTTACACATTGCCAGTGCTAATGGGAGAGTCCTGCTGGGGCCTGGCCACAACCCCTTCAGCTCAACTCCCTGCAGAAAGGAAGGAAGGGCTGCTCTTGCACTCCCAGGCTGCAGGCATGTGCCTGAATTTCCCCAGTCCAGAGAGAATGTCTGTCCAGTTTCAAACCAGTTTAGCCTAGCCAGGTTAGATTAACCTGCAAAGACTGAATCAATTCAGGCTCAGGCTTTCTGAATGTCTGTCCCTAGCTTAGCTGTTTAGTTGACTTGTCAGCTAGTTTTAAGTTTCTTGTATTCAATGGTGTTACCAATGAAACTATTTCCAAAATGATCACAGCCCAGAAAGATGAGTAGACTTGCAAGATGGGGAGAGTGCATGCCTGAAGAGGAGGGTTAGGTGAGATATTGAGAGTTCTCAGCTTTGTTGTTAGTTGTTCACCTAGGGCAATATTCAGTAAGTCTGGGTTAAGAGGTTAGCAATGTATCTGTGAGTGTACAAGATTTTACAAAAAATAATAGGCTTTTTTCATGTGTAGACTTAGGACCAGTTTATGTTAAAATAACGCAGATCCTGGCAGTACATAAAGATCTGAAAGCTGACCTCCAGTGCTCCCAACTGGAGATTTCCTGAAGCAAGGTATTCCCAATTGCTACGGAGTCATCTTAGCTTTTGCCACAACATGTATTTAGCCCACAGATTTCTTATGAGGGTTAATCTTATTTTTTGGTGACATACCTTAGCACCTTCAGTTAGGTGATTCTACAGAAGTGCAGCATATAGGTATCTTCTTTATTCAGTAGCCAGATTAATGTATAGCCTCTGTTGGCTAAACCATATTACCAGGTTGTGTGACCATGGCTGGTGTGGGTGAGGGACACGTTTTAATGGACTTTTATTGCTAGTGTGAACCAGTTCTTTAATCAGCTCAATAGATTGTGTTACAGCCTACGTCAAGACATTTGAGAGACTGGAGGGAAAATGGGGCGGGGTGATATTATATGATAGAAATAGAAATGTACTCACTAAGCTAGTAAATGCCATCTTCAATTGGATCTTTATTCAGTCTTGAAGAAATCACTGTGAACTGGAGAGGAAGTAAGGAGGATAAAGAGATTATAAAATTCAAGATGTCAGGTAGGACCAAGACGAGTACAAAAAAAATAATTCAGTATTCTCAAAAGCTTTCCTAAATGAGTAGGTGAGTCAGATGCTTATTACTGAAGTCCTTTCAGAGTCAACATGGTTACCTGAGCTACTAAACCAAATAGGATTTGAATCTGCAGTCTTGAGTTTGACATTTTCATTTTGCAAATGAAAAGCTCTTAAAAAGAAAAAAATCCCCCCAAATATATTAATATATTAATGTTTGCTTATGAGAATGCATTCTCTGTGTCCTTTTACGGCTTAGTTAGTTACATTTCAATTTTAATCAAATGTACAGTCCCTCACTTGTACATCTAATTAAAAAAAAAGTCAACTGAAACTATTGTGGTTTTCACAGAACTTGTAGAAGTGAAAAAAATTCTCTTAGTGACTAGCAGTGAAGGCAGGTGGTTTTCCCTGTCAGCCTGTAGTTTAAAAATGATTATATATTCTGCACTACTTAATATCTGATTGTATGTGTTGCTTCTATGAAATGTCTTTTTGTCTTATAAGGTCTTATGTATACTTAGGTTTAACAGTAATAGTTAACAACCATGAAAACCCATGAGCAGATAAAGCAGAAATGTATGTTTGCTGAAGTGATTGTAAGTTTTAAAGTGTCCTCTGTCTATACAATAAAGCGTGTTTATGGTATGACCTATTTTCAAAGAGAAACAAGTGAAATGATAAAACCTGTGATCACAGTGATAAACAGTAAAAAGCATTTTTTCAAGGGGAAGTGATCAACATTTATGTACTATTTTCCTATAAAAATAGTGAATGCCCCATATTTTTTGTGTGCTGATTACTAATTGCTCTCCTGATATTAGTTGTGAAGAGCAACAACCCACTGCAATTCGCAGATGTACACTGTTTTAGCATTATCTCTATGCTAGTATTTTCATGGACAAGGCGATTTTACTTTAAGCAGTGTATTTTAAAGCTGAGGTTATGCTTGTGAAGAATGACCCAGTGATCTGAAATCTGTTATATTTGCATTTATTCGGTTCAGAAGTGAACATGTTAAAGCCTTTTTTAAATAAAAAATAGGAGTCTAAAAACAAAAAATCAGAAATTTGTTTGCTTCCCCATCCAAAATGATTTTTTTTTAAACATACTAACTTGAAGACTCATCCTCATGCTTATACTCATCAGGGAGCTACTTAAGAATATGGATTACTTAGAAGCAAAGTTTGCAAGATGGAGTCCTTTCCAATGTATGTGCATATCATTTCCAAAAAAAGACAATAGCTTGGATAAATTTGGGTTTTAAATATATATATATTTATTTAAATATATATAAATATATAGATGTATATGTATACACACACACACACACACACACACACACACATATATACATATATGTGTGTGTGTGTATATACATATACATCTATATATTTAAATAAATATATATATTTAAAACCCAAATTTATCCTTGCATTTATCCAAGCTATTGCAATAGAGTATATGTATATTTGGGTTTCAAAAAAGCAAAACCAAACAAAACCA